GGAAGACAGACACATCAACATTAGCATCCATCTGCAAGCAAACACCAAGAGTATTGAGGCGATGATCATCCAACATTAACTTCATTGGTTTGTTTATGTTATCCAGATGTCTGACTCCAGACTCCCAAAGCAAGTTTTATTCTCCTAGCTTAGCCAAGGTGTACACTCAAGAGGGGGGCAGAGAAAGCACTCGGAGATGTCCTCAAAGCCAACTTAAAAAAATGCAGTACTGATGTCAACTCATGGGAGACTTACCCAGCACAGCCCCAAATGGAGGAAGAGTCTGTTGCAAGGATCTCAGTACTTTGAAACCTCATGACAACAGCAGGAGATGGAAAAGCAGGAGTGGCAGAAACAGCATGTTGCAGACCAGATAAAAAATTCAGTGCCATCCACCGCACATGGAAACACATGAATGAGCTGCAGTAGAGTCTTGATAGGCCTCATCAGCCATCTTCGAACACACAGATAAGACAATCATAGAAGACAATCATCCTTGACTGCAAGGGATTGCCAAAGAAGACAAAACCGAGAGTTTGTCGATTGGCACAGCACACATCCCATGAGGTTTCCAATTCTTCCTCAATAGAAATAGGATCAGCAGAAGATCTATGCGACGCTGGTCAGGCCGCAGCTGGAGTATTGTGTCCAGTTCTGTGCGCCCCATTTCAGGAGGGATGTGGACAACATGGAGAGGGTCCAGAGGAGGGCCACCCGCATGATCCGGGGACAACAGGGCAGACCCTACAGTGAGAGACTGCGGGACCTGAACCTATTCAGCCTCCACAAGAGAAGGCTGAGGGGGGACCTGGTGACTGTCTATAAACTCACTAGGGGGAACCAGAAGGGTTTGGGGGAGACGCTGTTTCCCCTAGCCCCCGCTGGCATAACAAGGAGTAATGGGCACAAGTTGATGGAGAGGAGGTACAGATTGGACATCCGAAAAAACTACTTCACAGTTAGGGCGGCTAGGAGCTGGAACCAACTTCCAAGGGAGGTGGTGCTGGCCCCTACCCTGGGGATCTTTAAGAAGAGGCTGGATACCTACCTGGCTGGACTCATTTGAGTCCCGTTTTTTGTTTTTTTTTGGTTTTTTTTTTTTTTTTGGGTTGTTCTCCCGCCCTGGCGGGGGGTCGGGCTAGAAGATCTATTAGGTCCCTTCCGACCCTAAAACTATGAAACTATGAAGAAAGTTGCCATCTGCCATCTGCAAGTTGCCAGCTGCCATCTGCACAAGTTCTTTCAGTCATCTTTGCTGCTTAGTTTCTCCATCTCTAACCTTGGCAGTTGTTCAGCAGCAGCAATTTTTGAGGGTCATTCTGTACAGAAGGATTATTGTGGGTGATATCTTTTATTGGGCCAATGGTATAATGGTATGGTTGATATAAACCTAGGTAAGCTTTCATATATCAAAGTACCCTTCCTCAGGCCTCTCGGGCAGAAGCAGACACAGTTGAGCTAAACAGCAGATGGAACAAAAGCTTAAGTAGGGTCATTATCAGGGATCCTGGTTTTCTCTGTTTGAAAATTGCAAATTCTCTGATTAAAGGCCCCCCCCAATGAAATATCACTATATATATACCTTTTTACCACTTTAGATATAGGCAGCTTTTCTAGTGGCTTGCCATGATCGTACAGTGGTTAGTATTCTGTGTTGTGGCCACAGCAACCTCAGTTCGAATTTGAGTCATGGCAGCAGAAGAGAGGTTTGTTTTTTTTATCTTGAAAAGAAAACTGGACTCACACCTTGCTGAGATTATTTGACTCCAGCAGTTTTTCCTGCCCAGAGCAGGGGGCTGGATCTGATGCTCTCATGAGGTCCCTTCCAGCCCTAAACTTCTGTGAATCTGTGAATATATATATGTACCAACTGAACATAATGTTTTATTGATATATTTACAATTTTAAATCAATTTGGAAGCCTATCAATGCCTCAATCACTATAATAAAATAAATTCTAAGTACCTATAAATTTTGGTATTTGATTTTGGGTTTATCATGGAAAATTACAGCTTCCCCTGCCTTCCTCCACTTACCAGGACACAGGTCCAGGCCCCTCACTCCCAAGTCACAGCCCCCCACATCCCAGCCCTGCTGGAGGTGGTCCCCAGCTACCAAGGCTAAGAGTCCAGGGACCCGGGTCCATTGCCCCTTGCCTCCTGCAGCAGTGCCTGAGCCCTAGCTGCTTTCCATGGGAGATGGCAGCTGCTGCAGTGGAGTGAAGCCCAGCCCCCCC